TTGTCTTGATTGGCTGGCAACATTGTGTGTCCTGTATTGGAGGCTTTTAGTGCAGCTTGGCTTCGAGTAAACGGACGGCTATCATTTATTAGGAAGCTAGGTTTCATCTGGGTGCCTAGTTGGGGTGTGTTTGAGCTGGAGGTATCGGGGGGGGTGTCTGTTTGTGCCCAGGTGTTTGCTTGGCTTGTGGTGTGGAGATTTTTTTGTTTGTGAGTGCAGGCTTCCAAATAATTGAGTCTGGTGGGTATATGCCCGAAAAATGATCCATACACTCAGGTATGGCACGATTTTAAAATGCCAGGCAGCTTACTGAAGGTGAAGAAGCCTGACTGAGGAGAGCTAAGATAAGGCACTGGAGACATTGAGTGGAGAGAAGTGTGGCATATATATGTGGCCTTGTAGGCAAATGAAACAAGTCATTGACCTCGCTGACTCTGGTTCCTTTGGGTGCAGGGGCGCTGTACCTGGATTAATCCCTATCAAAAATCAGAGGAAGAGGAGGAGGAAGAAGAGAAACAGGAAGAGCCAGAAGAGTTACAAGAAACAGGACCTCTTCTTCTCACACCCCTCTCTGAAGATGCAGGTACTACAGCAAAAACCTCACCTGGCTGGTTCTCTTTTCTTCTTAAGTTTTGGGAACATGGATGTTTTGGCCAGTGAGAAAGCAGGTCATGGTCAACCATGGAGTGATTTTATTAAATCAACTTATCCCATGGTACACAATTAAACTTTTTAATATAAAGGCGTATTTTTCTATACACAGGACTATGGCTTCTGATCTTTTTCTGTTAGTTTATCCCAACACCATAATTTGGTACAAAATATTTCTGATACCCCAAAATCAATTTGTTCTTAACAGATATTCAAAACATCACTCCATGCTCCTCTGATGCTTCAACACATTTAGTTCCTCAATATGCCCTTGCTGTCCTTCAAGCTAACTTGTGGCCTGGAGCATACGCCTTTGCTGTTGGAAGGTAGGCAATCAGGATCAATGTAATGTTGTGATTACTTCCAATTATAAAATCTCTGTTTTGTAATTTTCCATCTCAATCAATGGTTGGTTTACTTATTTATAGAGGACTAAAAGGCACTGTTTTTATACAGTTTTCACTCAAATCAAGCCAGTGGCATCTACTGAGAAATGTAAACGTTAATCTTTTCCACAACAAAATTTGGGATCAAGCCAGGCAGTTTGGTATATGTGACTATAATACAATGCATCCTTTAGTCCTTTTTTTTTCAAGCTATAAATTATACAACTGATCTGTTAGAAACAAATTAAGAAGTGTGGGATTCACTCTCTGCCCATCAGCAAGATAACTATCTGAAAACAGGACAGAACGGGATGGAATTTGCTGTGGGAATGAGAAGCCAACCTTCAAAATAGGTTGCATCTAGCCAGTGACTACAGAAGTCCAGAAAAAAAAGTCCCCATGGGTTAAGGTGCAGGGGTCTCCAACACTGGCAACTTTAAGACTTGTGGATTTCAACTCCTTCCCAGGCATATGATTTAGCCTGGAAAAATTATTAAGAGATTGCAGAGTTCCCAAAGCCATTTTCTTCATACTTTCCTCAACTTGTCCACGCTAAGGCCAAACTAGATGTATGCTAATAAACATGTTTTTTGCTGCCAATTGTGTAGGCAGGGGAATACCGCTCTATGTATTTTTAAAGCTATAATCATGCATCTATTTTCTGGACTCCTCTCAACTGAAGAAAATTTGAACAGATGTTCTGCAGTGTACACAGAATAGACAAAGGAAACAACTAGAAAACCTTGAATTACGCCGTCTTCGGTCTGATTTAAGCATGGTATATAAAATCATACATTGCAATGTCCTACCTGTCAATGAATACTTCAGCTTCAACCATAACAACACAAGAGCACACAATAGATACAAACTCAAAGTTAACCGCACCAAACTTGATTGCAGGAAATACGACTTCAGCAATAGAGTGGTCAATGTCTGGAATACTCTACCCGACTCTGTAGTTTCTTCCCCAAACCCCAAAAACTTTAACCTTAGACTGTCTACTATTGACCTCACCCCTTTCCTAAGAGGTCTGTAGGGGGCGTGCATAAGCGCACCTATCGTGCCTACCGTCCCTGTCCTTTTGTTTCTCTTATTCTTCTTTTATTTTTCTTATTTCATGTATTACCCATTTCATGTATTCACAACTATGTATACACTTATACTTACTATCTTGTAAACAATTGGCAAATAAAATAAAATAAAAAATAAAAATAAACTTGGTAAGAGATATATATAGAGGGGATCAATTTTTCCCATTCTGGAGCATTTCATGGTCATGTTAGCTAGAAATTCTGAGGCTTGGAAGTCCCAACTTGATTGGGAAAGAGTGATACACATTGCCCAGGGTGAGATGGGGGGGGGGGGGGGGGGGGGGG